TCAACAAGGAGAGTTCTGACGTCAAGGAACTAAAAGAACAGGTTTCAAAATTGCCATATTTTTGGTTTATCAGTGAACTTATAGGCATGAACTGCTTTTCCCTTCTACATTGTAGATAACAAAATGACAATTCTTTTCTTCAAAAGATGTAGTTCAATTGCATTTGGATTTTAAGTTTTAGTTTTTCCCCTTCAACAGATTGCCGGTCTTAAGGCAGCCTTAGCAAGGAAGGAAGAAGAGCAAGGGCGCCGCCCAATTTCCAGATCAAGTACTCCAGAAAGAGTCAGAACAGGATCTTGCGGATCTTCTCTTTCTTCTAGTTGCCAGAGTATGGTAGACCTTTCAAGCCATCATAGACAGCTGATGGAAGATGTTGGTAGTAACATAGAGGTATATATTTTTCGTACATGCCTCATCTAGCTTTTACCCTCATATGTAATATTATTAATTAATCAAGTAATACAAATTTTATGCTTCACTGGTTGCACATTGTAATTTTTATCATACAGAATAGAAACATACCAATGCCAGTTGCACAAGAGTTTTGTTTTGCTATAGTCACTAACCATTCTACAGCCTCGAAACTATCTTATACGAATTTAGATGTAACATGGTTTTCAAAGAAGTAAAAATGTTCATTATATGCTTCTGCATACATTCTAGGTATTCTCCTATGAGGGGATTGAGTCATTAGCCCCTTATCTATCTAGGAAACAAAGTCATTACCGGGCTAACTACCTGGCTAACCCATCTTCTGATTCCCTCTTGAACATGTTCCTCTTCATGCGTTTCTCTGACTTCTTGATAGTTCAAGTCTCTCCAGCTTAGTAAACCAATCAGGCTAAGGACATTCTTCCCCCTGCTATCCTTCGTATTCTGATTACAGAAGGAACAAATGTATCTTTCCCTCTATGCAGTTTACTTGCATTGGGAGCTCAAAGTTGTCGATGTTTTCAAATCTTTTCTCAGGTTAAGAAGAAGTCTGCGTCAAAGATGAGAAGGCGAAGCTTAGATCCCAAAGACTTTCAGATGAATTCTCCTCCCTGGCCACCAGTCAATAGCCCTGCATCAAGGGAAGACGACAAAGAATCAGTCTCTGGTGATTGGGTTGACAAAATTATGGTGAACAAGCAAGATGGTCTGAGTAGAAGTAGTTCCTTAAGAGGATGGGAAGACGAAACTAGGCATTCATCTGACCTATTATATACGAAATGCTCCTCTGACGGTTCAAAGGTGTATCCTGAACAACCTATAAACAAAGTTGCAGCAAATAAAAAGGACAGCCAAGACTACGAGGCAAGTAGGATTCAGTCTGAAGCAGGTTCCATGGATGATTTGGATGACGTGGAAACTGCAACAAGTGACTCTTCTGAGCTCGAATTCCCTTGGCAACCAAATCTTCAGAAAGTTAGTCAGACTCCCAATGGACTGGGATCAAAACTCAAAAAACCTAGTCCTAAGCAAGTGAAGAAGCCAGAAATAAGGTATCAACTCATGAGAGCATTTTACTTGTTAATTTTGGACTGCCTGCATTAAGAAGCTGCTTATATCTCCATGCATTGGCATAATAAGAAGTATACTTCAACTTTTGAAGTTTGTGCGTGCCTCGTCTAAAAGCTTAAATTGATCAAAATGGATACTTTTTATCTATTTATTTGGTCTACAACATCAATAATTGTCTGCAAATACATGCTTTTTTAACCTTTAGCAAATGAGCTTTTCTACCAACTAAGTAAACAAACTAAAACTAAATCAACAAATATGTCAAATGAAACAACATGCACACTAACCTGTTTCTATGCAAATCAATGCAGGAGCTTGATTCCCCCACCACCAACTAGGAGACTTTCTAATGGGATGGTTTCACCATCTGCAAAAACAGGAAGAGCAGCTGCTTTAGAAGGAAAGCGAAAAACAGTGAGTGGCAAGTGATAAATGTTCTTACTTAGCTGAGTTTGATGCTTAAGCAACCAAAGATGTGCATTTGTGTATCCTTTTTCTTTCTTTTTTTTCTTGTCAATCTTTTCACTCTGCATTCTTTAGAGTGAAAGAGAGCGAGCGTGTGGCAATAGCTTCAGTTGCCAGCTTTTCCTCCAGCGGTGATCTTGAAATTGTTTTTGGTGTCCCACTGATGAGTTTCCAGTTGTTCATATGGTTGTTGGCTTGTCCTTCATTTTTTTCCATTCTTTTGGGATGCAGAATGTAAGAAAATGCAGAAAATGAGAAAAAGAAATAATAGAATTATAGATACCAATTACTTCTTTTAATGTGTCAATGGACTTGGAGTCGAGTAATTTCAAGGGCAAAGATCACTTTTAGCCCGTGTCCGAAACTATTTATATCTGGTAGCCACAAAAATGTATTAAACTTGTATATTACACACACATATATATATATTATTTTTTATTTTTCTGCTATTATTTTGAGACTGGCTATATCTTTTCTATTTGTTGGCAGAGGAAGCAATCCTTTGTGGATGAGCTACAAATTTGTTGTTTCGTTGCATTTAAAACCAAGTGAAATGGAAACATGGTTGAACAAGCATTAAACGAGTGTCACGTTATCGGTTTTTTGTTTTGGTTGCATTTGCCAACTTTATAAATTTAATATAATTGTCATAATGCATGTGGAAATTGTCATAGTGGACCCTTAAAGTTGTCAAGATTTTTATTTTGGCACCTCAACTAAGCTTTGTTCCTATTAAACATTTAAGGCAAGTTAAAAGTGTGTCTAAAATAAAAAAATATATTGGCAACTTTAACAATCACCCTTTTCACATTATTACAGTCAATAGTCTTAAACTCTTAGGGGTTGTTTGGTTGGAATACGATTTATATAAATATAAGTTATGCCGATATAAGTTATATTGGGATAAGTTATGCTGAGATTAGTTATATTGGAATTGTTGTTTATTCATTGTTTGGTATGTTGTATTAAGAATGACAATTGCATAATTTCTAAGAAGAAAGTATAAGTTATACCGGTGCTAATTACCCCACCTTCTATAAGGTATAAGTTATCCCAGTATTAAAATTAACACCGAATAACTTATACCTGGTTTGCTAACCAAAGAGAGTATTAAGGTGGTATTAAATTTGTATACCACTCTTATACCTTCTTATACCTCATACCAAACGACCCCTTGATTATGAAGCTTTCGTTCTACCATAAGCTACTTAGTTTCTAATTTTTGATATTATTATGTCAATAAGCTATTAATTAATTCTTTATATATGATATGACATTCTACTTCAAAAGGAAACAAAGTAAAATATAGTGTTTTAACGAAAAATAAAAAGGGAAGCGCTTGATCATAAAAGGGAAGCACTATTGTTATGAAAGACAAAATTACGGAATAATGCACTTCATAAGCTGACCTTGCAATTTTTTAGCTTAGTTACAAGTTTGTAAATATATAGTCAAATATCAATAAGCTTAGATTCGATTTTTTTCCCGTTTTTTTTTATTCTCTATATCTTCATGTGTGAAACATCCGTAAGTTTTCATTCTCCTTTTTCCTCAAGTTGGTACATATATATCACATCTACAAAAAACGCAAAAACATACGCGAGAAACTTAAAATCTCATCTCCTTTAATGCTAATCTTGTTAAATTTCAAATATAATTTTGTGACAAATTTGGAGTGAATATTGTTTGAACTTATTAGAAATAGTCTAAATAGGTTGTATACAAAGTTTGAAGCCATTTGATGGAGATTTGGACTAGTTTTATGCAAGGATTGCAAGTGAAAATCATACAAAAAGTTCGTCAGAGATGCTTATACAATGATATACACTTTTATACAAAAAGGAACATTATATATATATATATATAGTTGCATAAAAATGGAAAGGGCTGTTCAAAACTGAATCGTAATCGTTAACCGAACCGAAAAAATGGTTTATTGGCTTATTGGTATTGGGTTATCGAGGTAATGGTTGACGAACGGATTGAGATTTTATAATTAACGGCTTAATGGTTTGGGGACGGATTACTCAATTTCCTTATCGGATAAACTGTTAATCCGTTCAGAATTTTAATATTTATACTGTTACATCTCGCGTTTTCGTACGTTAAAAGTTTTGTTTTCAGTTAATTGACGTAGACTCGGGGGTGAGATTATCTTGAGGTTAACGTATTTACGCTATTTATAACAAGCGAGAAGTAAGTGTCATGAAGGATAAAGGGTACACGAATTAAAGAATACGAGTTTTGTTGAAAGTGGTCAATTTGGGATAAAATATGAGTCGAGCGATAATACCCGATAATTATGAACTAGTACCATGTAAGGTAATATATGACCACGGTAGTATAATGTATAAAGTATATTAAAAATAAGTAGAATTTTAAGTAATTTAAGGTAATTTTTAAATTATGCGAGTAATTGGTTAATTAACGGGTAACAAAACATTACTCAATTACCTAATAAGTAGATAAAGATTTAATAATACCCACCCCACCCCCTACATGGCAGCAAGCCACTAACGTGGCCTATGACTTATGGCTTAGTGGTCATTTAAGGATTATAAGGCATTTACAAGTGTAAGACTCATAAAGTCTAGTTTTTAACATTACCAAAAGTTAGTTCTTCAATTCTATTCAAGATGATGTCAAACAAGAATTGGTTTTATGAAACTTTACGGTTCAACCTCCATCCAGCAAAATTTTCAATGAAAATGCTTGCATCAAAACAATTCTAACGAGAATTGTTAGAATCGTAGCAACGTAAAATTTTGCAGTTTTATAGGAGTAAGGTGCAATCTTCTCTAAGAATAATATATGGAGTTTTTCCTATTTCAGGTATATTAAGGCAATCACTTATTTCTTTTTGGCATGATTCAAGTTATACAGAAGAAAAGAACAAACACATAGTTTTCATAAACGACTTTATTCATAAAAATACTAGGGGTCTCTTTGTTCTTGATTCCCCGTGTGACATATTATTATATCTTCTATTCATGGGTCTCAAAATAATACGTAGTTGATAAAGTTTATCCGAAAAGAGTATTGAGATTTTTAACATATTTTCATGCATTTTATTCATTTATGCATGCATATTGACCCATGACTAGACGATGTTATATACGCGTATTTATATGCATATATTTATGTATATGGGATATGAAAAAAAGGTTATGGCATTATATACGCACCACCACCTGATCAGTTGGTATATGTTGATGATGTTGCCCAAAGTAGCCGAGATGATATGATGGGATGCCCTTAGTGGCTTGATGATGTTATGTACACCTATACCCATGCATGACACGACATTTATATGCACGTTCATGACATTATAAATATTTTCGAATTTACAAAGTTATACAGATTTACAGTTGGATCTCTTTATTCCATATTTCATCTGTCTTTTACGTACTGATTTTCATGCCTTACATACTCAGTATATTTTTCATACTGACGCCCTATTTTATGGGGCCTGCATTTCATGCCCGCAGGTACAGGTAGTCAAGTTGACGGTCCCCCTTCTTAGGATCCTTGATCAGCGAGAGTTGGTGTGCTTCACTTGATCCGAAGCTGCTTTTGATTTTGGTACAATACGCTTGTATATATATATAGGTATGACGTGGCTCAGTCCCGTCTTTGTACAGTTGTATTTCTATTAGAGGCCTGTAGATAGTTATGTACAGCTGGATAGTATGCGGCCTTGTTGGCTTTTGGTTTTGGATATATATAGTTGTCTATAGTAGCCTTGCCGGCTCGCCTCGTTGTATTCCGCATGTTTATGTATATATGTCTTTGGGATAGGTGTCCTTCACGTACATTATTCATGTTTATATTTTAAACGCCTGCTTAAGAATGTTCGACATGTAGGATTCAGGCACCCGTCGCGGCCCATCGGTTTGGGTATACTTTTATCCATATATATATATATATATAAAATAATTTTTTAAACCTTAAGGTACTTTTGAAAACTTCAAGGTACTCTTTCTTGAATTCCCAACTATTGTTTTCCATTTCTTTTGCAGTCAAAATATATTATGTTTACAGTATATTGAAAAGCATTTACTCAAAATGATATATGTTAAAAAATTATGTGCATCTCTTCTTTCTTCTTCTGTTGTAGGTATACATATTCTTTTTAATATAGCAGTAGTAATTAAATCTGACAAGTTACAGGAAAATATTCTTAGCTATGCAACCAAAAAAAATAGGGTTCAAAATTTTTATATTTGATTTAGCTGATAAATCGCCTGATAATTGTTAGTCTGATAACAATTCGCCCGTTGTCTTATTGGATGGCTAGTAGAGTACTACATTTATAATCCGATAATCGATAAGCCGAACTATTAAGCCTAAAAATCCGCCCAATCCACCCGATAAGCACCCCTAAAAGTGTATAAAGATGTATAAGCACAATAGTAGTAGTAGTAGCAGCAGTAGCAGCAGCAACAACAACATTAGTAGTAGTAGCAGCAACAACAGTAGTAGCAGCAATAGCAGTAGTATGAGCAGCAGTATGAGCAGTAGCAGCAATAACAACAGTAGCAGTAGCAATAGCAGTAGTAGTAGTAGTAGCAGCAGCAGCAGCAGACAGCAGCAACAAGCAGCAACAGCAGGCGGCAGCAGCGGCCAGCAGTGGCGGCAGCAGCGACAGCAGTAGGAGGAGGAGGAGGAGGAGGGGGAGGAGAAATGTGAGAAATCCACCAGATACATGTTAATAATGTATCAACCATGTATACAATAATGTATATGAGGTATTTATACACTAGTATATACTACTTATATAATATTATACAAATGAATCCTATCAATGGAGCTTTACGAGTTTTTCTTCTTCCTTGGACATCTTTTGACATTGAACTTAAATCTAGCTTAAATCTACTCCAAATTACTTCAAATTTGAGTTTTGAACTCCCCTTGATGATCACAATCAATTGGGACAACACCCAATCTAAACAACCACTACTAGAAAATTGTGGATTTCTGACCAAAATTTCTACGGAAAACAATTGCTGGAAATTTCCGACCAAATCAATCGAATTTTTAAAAAAAAATGAATTATATTTTTTAAAAATAATTTCAACCATATTTCCGACCAAATCGGTCATAATTTTTGGGCAAAGCCCGAAAAGTTATTTTCAATCGAATCCGTCAGTATTGAATTTTTAAATTTTGACTATTTTCACTCGTTTGACTTTAATAGCGACCAAATCGATCGGTAGTTTTTTCAAAAAAAATTAATTATATTTTCGACCGAATCAGTCGAAAATCTATTTTTAAACCCTACCCGACCCCTGTTCCCAGAAAACAGAAGCTCGATTTTCTTTCTTCCCCCTTCTTCTTTCATCTTCCTCCTCCTCTTTCCCTCACGTCCTTCTTCACCATCCTCCTCCTTCTAGCCGGTTCTAATTGCAACTATAGCTCCTAATATTTTGTTTTTATTG